CAAAAATTTGCTAATATAAAAAGCTCTTGTTTAGATAGTTTCTTCCTCATTTTGTGTTGGCGGAATTTGGTCAGTGGGTGAACAATTTGGTTTAGATGTTGAATCGGCTACATTTTTGGAAGAATCATACATGGAAGTGGATTATTTTGAGGGAAAAATTAGTAAATGTTGTTATAATTCAGGTAAAATTTATTCAAATTATATTTATAAGTTTAAATTCATTTATCATTCAATTTTATCATTATGTGAGATTTATTCAAATTATATTTGTAAGTTCAAATTCATTTATCATTCAGTTTTATCATTATGTGAGGTTTATTCAAATTTGTATTATTTTAATTCTTTTTATTATTCAAATTATTTCTCTCATAACCAATATTTACAGTTGCAAAATTATCCCTGTCAACAAATAAAGCAATTAATCGATTAATGATTAATTAATGTATTTTGAAAAAAGAAAAGGAAAGAAAAGTTTCCTAATTTTTATCACTTAATGTAATAAATTTTAAATAGATTAAATCTAAATTCGTAATTTTTGATTGTTAATTTCAAATATATTGCTAAAAATTAATAATACAATTAAAATAATTCAGGCAAAAAGAAAAAAATGGATTAATAATACAATTAAAATAGTTTAGGTAAAAGAAAAAAACGCCAATCAATTAATTAATTAATTATATACGACTTATTTTGTTTTTTTTTCAGGAACTTGGCAAACTCGTTTCATATCATTGATAATTCAAGGTGATTTATTTACTTTGCATACTGGTAAAGTATTTGTTGAGGAGACAACAACTATTGAAGCATTATCATTTAATAATTGTGGTTTATGGAAAATTAAGGAAGCAATTAAAATTATTCTGAAAGGATCAGCAAATTTCTATGCTTCATCAAAATTTAACGCTAATTTATTAAAAATAATAGCTGAAGGTCAATGTACTATTGCTGGATATTTATCATTGGAAAATTTATTAGCTTATATACGTAATGATATGATAACTGTACCTGGTGCACGAGTTAATATAACAATTGGTGCAACTATTGCAGTTGGAACATTCCGGAATGATTGTTCCTGGTATGTTGATGGAAATTTACATTTGCATGTTGCATGCTTTGAGCAATCTGAAGATGGTCTTATTTTTGTAAAAGATACCTTCACGATGATAATTTATGATATATCAGAAGAACGTTGTAATGGACGAATTGTTGCTAATTATTTCATTATGAATTTAGCAAAAAGGGTTCGTTTTGATAGTTATATTCGGGTGAATCAAATCGAAATTTGCATACCATATGTGAACGAATCAAGGTTAACAATTGGTGGACAACTTGAAATACTTGATGGACCATTAATTTTAAAAGGACGTAGTTCAGAAAATTCTGGAATTTCTACATCATCATCATCATCATCATCTATTACAACACATTCATATCCGGCATTTATACTAGAAGGACAATTAAAAGCTGAAGCTATTATAGCACCTTTTCTTGCTATTCTATTCTCAACATCTTCTATTCATTACTTTCCGGAATGGATTCGATAGCAACAGATGCTACATATCGTACACTAATATCATGTAATTCATTACATACTCAACGTACTTCATTAATTGATTCTATTCCGAAATGTTTATTTCCGGAAGGTATTTTATGTGCTACAACATGGCTTCATGAGGGACAAATTCGTTTTAATGGTGAAAAAGTATATATTATCACTGATGGATTAATTAATCGTGGCCGATTAACAAGTGGTAATAAATTACAAAATCATATGCGTGAAGTAATTGTATTAGCGGAAAATTATTTCCGGAATGATGCCGTATTTTCAGCTGATCGTATTATAATTCATGGAAATGGTAAATTACAAAATACGAATCGTATCTTTGCTAATAATGAAATGAATATACAATTGGCAAATTTTTGTAGTGAATTTGGACAAACACATTTGGAAGGTACGCAACCAAAATTACTATCAGCTAAGAATGAATATAACCGTATCGAAGAAGGAGGAGAAGGAGGAAGAGGAGGAGGAGGAGGAGGAAATCATATTAATGAATGTAACCGCCGTATAGGAGAAGGTTATAATGAAGCTCATGGAAATTTCAATATATCATCATCATCATTATCATCATCAAAAGGAAATGTTGATTGTATGATAGTAAATCGATATAAATCAAAGCGACAAATTCGATTAAGTGCACGATCTCGTTTACATATTGATAATGATATTATCAATAATCATAATAAGATTATATTAATAGCACGAGATGCGATCATATGCAAATCTCATATAAATGCTGATATATTGGAATTAACACTTGGTGCAGCTTATATGACAGAATTTGTGATAAAAAATAATGCTACAATAATAGCTAATCAATTACAAATTATGGGAAGTTGTAAATATCTTACTGTAATTATCGATGGTGAATTATCATGTGAAACATTAATTATTGATGCAAGAATTCGACAAATTAAAATAATTGGTAATGGAATATTATGTTGTCGAAAATCATGTAATATAGGTGGTGATATGATTACTTTAGCAATTCGTGATATTCGTATAACGGAATTAATTGGTTCAATGATAACGATAGCATCTGATAGTGCTCTTAATATATCATCATTTGATTCACAACTAAAAATGCTATCAATTTATGCTGATAATTGCTATTTACAAGGACGAATATTTGTTGAACATAAAATTATTCTAAAAATTACCAATGGAATATGCCATATTAGTGGTGAAATTCTGGGAATTGGCATAAATAGTGAAATATCATTGGAATGTAATGAACTAATTTTAACCGGAATAGTGGCAAATTTAAATTTTCTGGAATGTTATACACGCAGAAAAATTGAACAACATGAAACAGGAATAATGAAAAATGTGAAAAATATCGTTCTGGAAGCGGAATTCATTACATTAAATGGTAAAATTATGGATTCAGAATCTGTTATTGCTACCGGTGATGATGTGAATATTGATGGAATTCTACAAAATCAAAACGATAAAAATATTACATATTCTATATTTGGTCAAAAAATTCTCTTTGATGGTGAAATATTTGGTCCGATACGATTGGAATTAAGCGGAACAGAAATTATTTTTACAGGAATTACAAATAATTTGAAATTTCTTGATATTGATGCAAATTTAGCTACAATTGCACCAAAAGGATTGAAATGTGAAAATTTCAATATTATTGCTTATTCTGCAATTTTAGATGGTAATTTTAATATCGGAATATTTGCTGCTACTATACAGGTAGCCTTATTTATACGAACTAATTTAACCGATTGTGGACAATGCAAGCTTATTGCACCAATAATTCTTGCACTAAATTATCCAATGTCATCTAAAATGGATATTTCTGCTATCATTTATGCTTTTGAACGATTTGAATTATTGGAATCTGGAAAGCATCATGAATTATCTGATTTAAAAAATCAATTTACACCAATAACATCTAATTGCTCAATTAATAATGATGCTAAAATTTTACACTCTCAGCAATCATCCATTGATAATAATATCAATATAAGGAATGAAATTTTCATCAAAATTTCCTTCCATTCTCATATCATTACTAATCATTATACTACACTAAAAGAATATGATTTATTACGAAAAACAACAAAAATAATTGATGAATGCTTTAAAAAAATCACAAACAACATATGATGAATTTGATGAAGCGCTAAAAAGAATGGGACAAATGCGCTCAATTGATATTTCACTTCCAACAACAAGTTGTATTTATGTGACATTTTTGAAACTTTTAAATGAAATACACATTGAGCATCAGCTAATGCGTAATTTTACCAAATTATTTCATCTGATCTGTAATATTACTGATCTAGAAGATGACAACAAAATGACGAAAAATTCTGAAATATTGATTGAACAACATGAAAGGTTCACTTTTTTTCTTCTTCTCTTTGTTTTTTTTTCTCTAAATAATTAAATCAAATATATTTATTAGCAATTTATATTTCTTTTTTACGTTGATTTATTGAATTGATTATGATATTAAATATTTTTTTGAAGTTTTATTTAAAAAAAAGGAAAGAAGTGGTACTAATGAAATATTTCTTATTTAGAAAAAAAATATATATATATTCTTATATTTTCTGTTGGAAATAATTTAAATTTTCCATTACTTTGCATGATTATTTATATATTGAATTAATTATGATATGATATATAGTAATGTTGTAAAATATATTTATTATATTTTTTTTCGGAAGAGTCTTTTTTTGTTTTTGAAATTTTATTTAGAAAAAAAAAAAGAAACATGAAAATTACTTCTTAATGAATAAATGTTTTAGATTCGAATCAAAAGCACTATACGAAATAGCTAATCGTTTTCGGATTCGATCACATAAATTTAATTTACAACGAAATGAAAAGCATTCAACAGATGATGATATTGGTTATGTAAGTCGTAGTTCTAGCGAAGAAATTGATGAAAAACGTCGAAATATCAATGATCATCTACGGGATATACTGTATGATAATATATTTTCAATATTTTCATCTTTTTTTTTTAATTTTCATAATTTTTAATGTTTTTTTAAAAAAAATTTTTAAATTATATTTTCATATTTAATTTATGATCAATTTCTTTGTTTTTTTTTTAGTTTAGAAAAAAATTTTTAGAAAAAAAGTATAGCAAAAAATATTTTATCAAATGTTTTTTTCTTTTTTTTTTTTTATAATGGCTTCTTTATACAGCTACTGTAGTACAAATTTGGATGATGAAAGATTTGCATCAATGTCAAAGGTGACAATTAGTGATGAGGATGATTGCATGGATAAAGATACAATAACAGATGATGAATTACGGTTAGTACCTATCACATAATTTGATGAAATTTGTCTAAAATTATGCGATAAACTTTTGATTTAAAATTTGAGCTAGAATAAATACCAATTGCATGATTTAATAGTATTGATTCTAAAAATAATTGAATAAAATTTTTGATTCAGAACATGAGCTGGAATTAATATACCTGTTCTATGATTTGGTGAAATTTTGTCTAAAATTATGC